ATCGTTAGCATCGGCATCATCAGCAGCATCATCATCCTCATCATTATCAGCATACTCATCACCATCGTCGAATCATAACCGTGGTAATAGCATCATGACCAGCATGACCACCACCATCATCATCATCATCAACAACATCATCATCATAATCCATCCATCGTCGTCATCATCATCATAATCATCATCACCATCACCATCATGCTCAACATCAGCATCATCATCAGCATCATAATCATCATCATCATCATCATCATCATCATCATCATCATCATCGTCATCATGCTCATCATCATCATCCTCGGTTTCATCATTATAACAATCATTTCCACCAATACCACCACCATCATCATCATCACCAGCAGAAGCAGCAGCGGCAGGAGCAGCGGCCACATCATGATTAGCATCAGCATCATCAGCATCATCATCAGCGGCAGCATATTTCACTTCCGTTCCCTTCCCTTCCTCCACCTCCCCCTCAAGAGAACACCTGGGCTCAGAAGCATCTAGGCGCATCGCCCGTAGCCTCGTCTGCCCAGCCTCTGGACTCGTCCCCCGCTGGGGAGCCTCGCCCTCAAGCGGGCCTGGCACCGGCAGGCATCGAAGCCGATCTCACTCCGTGCCTGCCGGCGCAGCGGCCTCGAGTGGCCCCCGACGGCACGAGGCCGAGGGGAGGGGAGAATGTTGGAGGCCTGGAAATGGGCACCAACACCAAAACAGGGGGTTGCCTCCACAGGGGGAAGATGATCCTGGATTTCGCTGTTGGTGGTAATAGTTCGGTCACCTTGGAAGCCAGAATATTACCACCATCACCGAGATTGGGATCTTCATCCCTCGGTGGAGGCACACCACCGATCTTGGTGTTGGTGTCAACCTCTCGGCCTGGGATAATGGCACGGTGGAGGTGGCAGCGAGCACTCTGTCGGCACCCCAGCTGCGGGCGACGGGCTGGGCTGTTGGCCCCGGCCTCCCGCGGGCCCTGCGGCGTCTCCCTCTTCGACAACGGCGAGCTGCGGCTTCGTGCGTGGGGCAACCCGCCAGGAGGAGCTGTGAACGTGAGAGGAGGAGGAGGAGGAGGAGGAGGAGGAGGAGGAGGGGGAGGAGGAGGAGGAGCTGTGCACCTGAGATGAGGAGGTGGCTGATGAGCAAGAGGACGAGCAGGAGGAAAAGGATGAGGATGGGGAAGGATGAGGACGAGGGGGAACAGCAGCAGCTCGAACAAGACTAGGAGGAACAGGAGGACCAGGAGGAGGCGGAGGTGTGGAAAGGAGCAGGGCAACAACTACGAGGAGGGACTCGGATCCAGAATTGTGGCACACGCTGAGACGAGAGCGTCGTTCTGAACGACGAGGGCGAAGCGTCGATCCTAAAATGAGATCGACGTTGCAGCTTGAGCACCATTTTGAAACACCGAAAACGCTCCAATTGGAAGACAAAATGATCGTTTGAAATCCGACATGCTAAGAAACACCATGCGGGACCCGCTTGGACAGGATCCGAGAAGAAAGGAGAGTGGTATTCATATTGACTTCCTCCACAAGGAGATGGCAGAGGAGGAGGAGGGGGGGAGACGGAAACTGACAAGGGGGAGAGCACTAGGAGGAGGAGAGGGTGGCGGTGGAGGGGGGTCCCTGATCTCGCCCGATCAACCACATTCCTGTGTGCCAATTGCTTCTCACGCGCCGTCCTCGAGGATCTGTGGCCGCGAGATAGGCGTCGATGGCTCGCAATCCGAGTCCTCGTCGTCCTCAGCGGGAGATCTGCCGACTCCAGTCCCAGGGCAGTCTTCACTATGCTCACACGCATTCCATGAACTATGCCGCTGCCAAACATGCCCTGCTGACAAACAACTGGAATTATGATGGTGGTAAGGCTGGCTGGGCTGACTGGGCTGACTGCGCTTCCTGGGCTGGCCGGCTCGGCCGGCTAGGCTCACCAGGGCCGTCTGGAGCGGCAGGGCTGGGGGCACGAGGAACGTCCTCCGGGCTCACGAAAAAAGGCTGCAGCGATGGCGAGAATCGGTGGCTTTGGGCGAAAGTCTTCTCAAGACGAGCCCGGCTGGATGGCCAGGCTGGCTGGGCTGGCTAGGCTGGCTGGGTCTGTTTGGGAGGGGTACTAGAGAGAGAGCCTCCGAGGCCACAGAACGGGCCCGCTTGGGGTGGCTGAGCTGGCGGGGTCATGAGCTTCGCTGGCTGGGAGGCTGGCTGGGCTGGCTGGGAAGGCCGACGCGAGCCGAGCAGGAAGGTAACATAAGAAGACTCAGAATCCCACCTGGGCAGCACATGTTGGCCCTCTTCGGGCCTTCGAAAGCCTCTGCAGGTACGCGGAAACCTTTGGGGACCCGCAGACACAACCGGAGACCTCCTGACTCCGTGCTTCGCGCCGCAGCAGCGCGCGATGCGCGGCTTTACCTTCGCGCCCTCGTGAGGTCCAGACAGCGAAGCACGGAACGGATCAATAGGATGTGATTCAGAAGACAGCAGGTGTCCGTGAGGTTCACGGACGTTTCTTTTGAAACAGCTTCAGCGGCGCGTGGGCCGAAGAGGCAAGGATGCAGGGGCAGCATCAGTCAAGCAACCCATCCTTGCTACAAGCTTTGGCATTCAGACGAGGAGCCTGAACGCTCCGCCCTCTATTCCTTGGGCTGAGCAAACCATGTAGGTTGAGAGATAGAGCCAGCTTCCTTCGGAGGCCAAGACAAATATCTTCTTGGAGTCTCCTGGTCGCCTGCCAGGCTGTCTGCAGGCAAACAGAACTGGCTAGACAAGCATAGCTGAGGGAAGCACGAGCAGCAATGCGGATCAGGACACATACATCCGACGTAGTGTGTGTGTGTGTGTGTGTTATCGCGAGTTGGACCCAAAGAGCTTTCGGCCCCATCCCACTGCACAAGATTGTCGTCGATGAACCGACGTCTTCGGGCCCCAGGGTCCAAAAACAATCCCTGGACACCGAAATAGCAAAGCGTACCCGGCGTGTTATTCGCGAGGCCTGCAAATCCCTGGCACCTCTTGCCGGGGGCTCTCTGAACAAGAAGCTCAACAGGAATCAAGCCGTGGCCAAGAAGAACCTCCTGCAGGGCCAGAAGGGGTGACAAAACACACGAACCTCGATCCTGGATGCTGAGACGTCTTCCCTGCCAAAGAGGAGGAGAACCAGAGCAAACCAAGGAAGCATCAACGATGCTGCAACACGCCTTCCAGACTTACTCTGGATAGGCAATCATGGCCCCACCCTTGGATCCGCTGGGGGGGTAAGCAAATGCTCACGTGTTGTCGGAACGGGTGGAGGGGGGTTGGAGGAGGAGGAGGAGGAGGAGGAGGAGGAGGAGGAGGAGGAGGAGGTTAAGGAGGAGGAGGAGGAGGGGGAGGAGGAGGAGGTGGAGAAGGGGGGGGGAGGGGGAGGGGGGGGATGGACATGCTCCGTCGGAAGATTAGTCGCCCACCCCTCCATTAATATCCCACCCAGAGTAAGCCCTCTCCTCAAAGTCTCTACATGCACACATGCCGCTTCACTACTGAGAATACCCCTGCGAAAAAATCGAACGCACCATGGGCCTGCCATCAACGCGAGAATCCCGGTCTGAGGATGAACGGCCCTGCATCCATCTACCTGTACCCATTGGTCGGAAGAAGTCGGTAGAACATGAAGTAGGAAAGTGGTGAAAAAAGACTGGGTGTCCGCGCGCCCCCGAAAGAGAACGGAAAAGGTGAAGCCACTCGATCATTGAAGTAGGAAGGCACTTAAAGTAAATTGGAAGCTGGGATTCCAGGCGTACCTACTTTCAACGACTGGTGAGTAAGAATATGAGAGAGGTCAGATCATCCGCCACCGCAGCCCCTGACGATGAGGCGTTGTTGAAGAATGTCCGATGCTGCCTGGTAGGTTCTCTCTCTCTCTCTCTCTCTCTCCCTCTATATATACTGAAAACTAAACACCCCCCCCTCTCGCCACGCAGTGCCGCAAGCACCGCCTCCCTCTCCCGAGGCTCCCTGGGCGGCCTGACGCCTGTCGCCACCTCGGGGCCCCCCGAGCCGCTCAAAGGTTCCAGCACGGGAGTGGACGGCCACCAAACAGGCCGCCGAGATCCTCGTGACGCACCCAACAGCCCCCAAAAAGCACCCAGCAGGTTCTGAGAGGCCTCCTGGTGGCCCCAAGGCACCCCGGAGACGGCTTCTGACGCAAAGCCCGCGAAGGCCAGAGCGCGCGGAGTTCTGGATGACGTAGCAGGTGGGCGCGCGCAAAATTCTGGACGCCGCAAAACCCACTGCAACTTGGGAGCGCGTAAGGCCCTTGACATCCGAGGGAGCGTGATCTACCGTCGTTTGACTGGACCCCCCCCCTCCTGGAAACCTGGGCAAGGGGGGGGGGGGGGACCCCTCCCCCCTGCCTGCCCAGGAAACGGGGGGAGGTGCAGAAATCCCCCCCCCGGTTCGAGACCAACGGGTTGAAGACGGGCCGCCCTCCACCACTGAAATTGTTGGGCCCTTTGGGGGCGAACGCACGCGCCGCTACATCGGAGGCTACAGTTTGTAAAAAACGCAGCTAGGATTTTGAAAACATTCTGCAATTGCTGGAAACCGTTACGAAAGACTCCGCGGCGACGAGGCAATTTTGAGAGCCACCCACCCCCCATACTCCTAGAATCTGCAAGCTTGCAAGCCTCAGGGCCACAAACGGCGAGGACCTCTCAGGCGAAACGCCCAGTCGCCCTACTGCACGCCTGGCGATGTGACGAGGGGGAGCCATGCCAGTGGTGGGCCGAGCCCCCTGTGGCGGAACACTCCTCAATACAGAGGCCCCGGGGCCAGACCCGGCGGGCGCAGGCCCGCCAGGAACGGCCGCAGCACCCTCCCACGAACCGTGAATGACCTTCGAAGAATATGGAGGAGGAGGAGGAGGAGGAGGAGGAGGCGGAGGAGGACGAGAAGGCGGAGGAGGAGGAGGGAGGACGACGACGAGGGGGAGGCGGCCAGCTGATGTCGGCAGCGCCCAATCAAACCATGCAGGAAGGAACACAGGAAACCCAATCGGGCTGGGGGTGGGAGGAGGGAGAAAGGGAGGGAGGAAGGATTCAGGGAGGGAGGGAGGGAGAGAGGAGGAGGAGAAGGAGGAGGAGGAGGAGGAGGAGGAGGAGGACGAGGAAAGAGAGGGAAGCGAAGGTGGAAGAGGATGAGGGCGGAGGAGGGGTGCGGAGGAGGAGCAGGAGGAGGAGCAGGAGGAGAAGGAGGAGCTTCCCATTGGGTCGGATGAGTTCGTCTGTTGCAACTGTTGCTGTTGTTCCTGCCGCTGCCCCCTTGCACCCGCAGGGCAAAGGAGGAGGAGGAGGAATGGATGAAGGGGAAGAGGGGGACAGGTGGAGGAGAAGGAGAGGGATGGAGGAGAAGGGAGCAACATTCCGAAGTGAAAGAGGCGAACGCAGGCGGCCACGAACATGAAGATATAGAGCTCTGGAGTCCTCGACAAACACAGCAGCAGAAGTAGCAGTGCCACCGGGGCGGAGGGTGCGACCTTGGAGGGATGGACGGGAGCAGGGGGAGGAGGAGGAGGAGGAGGAGGAGGAGGAGGAGGAGGAGGAGGAGGAGAGGAGAGGGATGGAGGAGGGGAGGGATGCAGGAGGAGGAGGAGGAGGGAGGAGGAGGAGGAGGAGGAGAGGGATGGAGGAGGTGGAGGGATGCAGGAGGAGGGAGGAGGAGGAGGGAGGAGGAGGAGGAGGAGGAGGAGGAGGAGGAGGAGGAGGAGGAGGAGGACAACGACGAGGAGGAGGAGGATGAGGAGGAGGAGGGAGGAGGAGGAGGAGGGGGACGGATGGAGGAGGAAGGGAAGGGGGAGGAGGAGGAGGAGGAGGAGGAGGAGGAGAAGCAGCGGCGTGGAGGAGGATGAAGACGATGAGAAGGAGGAGCGACCGTAGCTTGAGGCGCTCGAGTCTGCTCCTACCTCGGTGGCGCTTACTTCACACTGGAGGCCACCGCGCTGGCAGGAAGACGTTAGCGCCAGAGTGCAGCTCGGGCAGCGCTGAGAGCTGAGGCAATTGCTTCGCTCGTCGGAGCGGCATTCTTCATTTTATTATACAGATGGCAGGAAAGCGTCACGCGCTGGATCGACCGATGCAGCGCAAGGTCGCTGCAGGGATTGGGCGGACATGCTGCAGCGGGGCCCAAGGCCCAGGTCGTGAGTGCGTTTGGGAGATCAGGCGAGTCAAGGGACCAGAGGAGACTCAGGAGGACGGGGCAGGAGAGGTAGCGGGGGAATGAATCGGCAGCGCGCGCGCAGACGAATGCACAAGGCTCGAGGCCGAGCACGTGCATGCGGTGGGCGGTCGCCCACCCGCCGCTGAGCGTCTTGAAAGTGACCCGGCGCCAGCCGGGGCGGATGGCTCCAAGCGCGCGCGGGAGGTCGGCCCATCTCTTGGAGAGCTCAGCGGCCGGGGCGGCTGAGGGACATTCCACGCGCGGAGGCGCTTTTGGAGCATGAACGCGAAGGGCGAATTGAAAACAGCCTGGCGGAGACTGCGAGCAAGCACTCGCTGCGCCTTCGCTCGGCGCGGCGGGCTCGCAGCGGCAGATGCTCGAATTCCCCGACGAGCAGCGCGGCCCGCCGCGGCCATGGCTGCCTGCGCCCGTGCGCGAGGGCGCGGTAGCATTGAGCACACGAGCGCTCATCGGCCCAGAACGGCCCTGAACAAGCACCCTGCGACCAGCGCGCAAAGGCGTGGACCGCGCTCTTCCCCCGCGCCGCGTCGCGCAG